CCCCCCCGCGTTGGAATTTCGAAAAATCCTTTCTTAGTGTGCGTTTCCATGACGTACCCTAACTGTGTACCAAATTTCACCTCTTTAGGTTAAGCGGTTTGCTCTGGGCGATGATGAATCAGTGAATGAATGAATGAGTCAGTCAGGACAAGCAATTTTATATATTTAGATTGTTATTTAGGCTCAGGGGCTATTCGGATCTTACATTTTTGATAAACTTGTGTTCCTGAAATAATTAATACATATAAAAATTCTGAAAACACTTTTTAAATGCAGGAAGTTGTAGATTGTTTTATTTACTTTTTATACACAATAGGTTATAATAAAATGCACAATAATGTTCTATTTTATCTTGTATAATATGAAAATAATAATTTTATAAGATAAATTTAAGTGGATATCTATTGTAAAGTTTTCTTACATATGTATGCTGAAATTTGTCATTTGTAAACGTACAGTACGTAGCCATTTCTTGAAATTCTATCACATCCATTAATAGACTACTTGATGGGCTTCTGGAAATGCTAATCTGGTTTTTTTGAGATAGTGAAAAGAGTGTATATTTCGTCATATATGTAAGCATGCATCTCGTGTAACATTTAACAATTTATTACAGCATGGAGTAACAGATAGCGACGAAATTTTTCATTACTCTGTATTTTGTATTCTAATATGACATCTAGCTTACACTAGAAGATTTATATAGTTAATCTAGGCCTCCTATCACTGATCTTTACACATCTGTACTCCACTTTTATCTAACTACCTTCTCGAGTTCGAATAAAGATAGGCAGACAAACAAACAGTTAGACGACAATCGAAATTTAATTAATCTACAATTTTTTTCAAATTGTAACCCAATAATTTTTCTATTAACGACAATATACTTTCCACATAGTTTATACAATTTCTTTCACAAATATAAGCAATTTATTTTCGCATAAAAACAATTATTTTCACATTTTTTGCAGGATTTTTTTTATTTAAACAATTTGTATGAAGTATTTCAGGGGTTAGAGTTTTTTCTGTAATATCAAACACGATAGCACAATTCTCGAGAACGAATGTTAATAGAAATAAACAAAGTCATATCAACTCGTTTAGTGTTGATGCATTTGTATCAATTACCAATGTATATGCGCAGTTTTAAATAACCTTTACTCTTGAATATACTGTCTGGAAACACGAATTTCGACACGTAACCAATATGAAGTCATCCACGACTATTGATAAAGTATAATTACTCTGCACTCATTTTCTCGATCCGAGATTTATCCTCGAAGGTGAGCATTATAAATTTAATTAGTAAAGGTATGTTGTTGCAGTATTGTACATTTGAAACATCGGTTCCAAACCTAAAGTTATGTTATTTCAATTGAAAACTTTCCTCCGACAAGTGTTAGATAGATGACAGGCACGACTCTATTGGTAGAGGAAAAGTATGATGTACACGGGCAAGTGACTACTAATTTGAGGTGGAGAGCAAATACTTTAAATTAAATAAATTAAAATTGCAGCCCAGCATTGTGACGATGCCACAATAAATAACTGCTCGTTTTATATTGTTTTTAAAAAACTAATTTTGCGTTATTTTAACTTGAAATATTAGCAATTTTATAAATTAATTTATTAAGTTTATCTGAATTAAAAAAATTTAAATTAATAATTTTTTTTATTAATTTTATTTTAATTTTATAAATATTAACTACATTTCCTGTATACCGAATTGTGGGTTATTTCCCTTTCTGAAAAGGATGTCTGTAAGCGTGCTGAATTGATATAATCTTTCAATTATAGCCTAAATAATTTTCAAACATCAGTTTGTTTATAATACATGATATTTATTTCGTCTTTGTCCTTAATTATTTATATTATACTTCTGTTGACTTTGTACCTTTTTTTGAATTAGAACTTGCTACACTGAGAAAAGAAAACTTGTGTCTATTAGTGTAACAAGTCTTAGGTCACAAGAAGGTACTGTACAAAGTTAACAGAAGTATAATATATTTAAATAATATTTGTTTGGTGACTTACCAAACGTTTCGTCATCGTGCATCCCCTTCGAGAAAAGGTCAGTTTAGATAAAAACACTGCTGTCTTATCTTTGTATTTCTTAAATCTCAAACTCGACAAATACAGGACTTATCACACAGGATACGTATCACTTATTGAAAAGATTGTAGAAAAATTAATCACTCTGAATTGTCGTTCGATGTTATTTTAGGTTCGTGTTTGCTGTTGTTCATTATGATCTCTTAAATATTTTTAAAGCGCGTGGTACTGTACGATATAACCACTTTTAGTAAATAATATTCACATAAAGCAAATGAAACTTTCGAACAATGTATTTTTATCGTTGATTATTCTGAAGTAATGAAAATAAAAGTATCTATAATACTTCTGTCCTGTCCCGGGCTTAGCAAATGAAAATGTATACTTGTCATATTATAAGTGACAATCGAAGTTTTTAATCTTTAGTAGTTTCAAAGAAATATTACGTTATCGAGCAGTTAAAAATAACATTCTTGATATTTCAAAATCTGTTTGCATACTTTTCTGTCTTTCAACGCTTAATAGAGAAGTTGCGGCAGCACCCTCTCTATCATCTTCAGTGTTTTTTTTCTTTCCTGGTTTCCCTTACTTTTAAAAAACATCTGGACGTATCCAAAAAAAATTTTATCTAATGCTCCAATTACTATGGCATTCAAATTAGTTATGTAAGCGTCAGTTCATTTGTTATACAACACGAAAAATGTAAGTGACATTTAATTGTTAGGGAATTTGATTGTTAGAGGATGCCAAAAAATGTCTGGGCTTATTACCCAAATATTTTTTGGAATAATTTATCTTTCGTTCTATATTCAATAGTGCTTTTTGCCGTAGCTGTTTGTTTGTATACTTCCGCTCGTTCGTAATCAGACCGAACTACACAAACAAGAATGTATTTCGTTTATTGATTCGATAACCGTTAAATTTGCATAAAAACGCGAAAAACCAACGAAGGGCTACTCGGTGAATTTTAGTTCGTGAAAAATACTAAAACATTACTAAATATGTCATTAAGTGCTTTAACAGAATAGTACCAGACAAGAGAATACCTCTATGCGTAATCGCAAAAAAGTTAAATAATTGGAGATAACGTACATTAAATAAACATCAAACGGCAATTAAACGCCTTAAATTCTATTAAATAAAATTAATATCATTACATGGCAAAAAAACAAAGCTTATTAATTGGTCCCTTCAAAACAGTTGTTGAAGTTTGTAGTTAGACAACACAAACTCTTCTATCTCCTGTTGGAAACAGTTCTGTAACCCTACCAAGTGTTGCTTTGAAAAAGGCTAATTATTTTCTGGGGGGTAGAATTACATCATTCACTATCAGACCTTGCTTGACTCTATACCATTTTGTTCTTTGTTGCAAATGTAATAAACAATACATTGGCTACCACTTCTAAAATGTTTGGAAAATATCTCCGTATACTTTCTTCTGTCGTTAAAACTCATAACTCCTAGAGTAACTTCTTCAGTTATTCAAATTAATGAAGATTCTATAAGGGAATGTGCATATAAGGAGAGTGTTGATATAGCTGCTGGATTATTTGACAATTGCCCTAACGTATGAAAATTAAGGCAAGCATACAATTGAGTAACAATCGTGGGAAATTCTTCGTAAGTCAATGCTTGAATTCTCTTTCTTGTTATGGTGATGTTCTATTGACCAATCTGCCATTTCACACAGCCATCCAAAACTGAGAAGCGGAAAGCTGATTGAAGGTGCATTTTATATTTTGTGTAAACAGTTACCTGAGCACGATGTCAGATTTACGAAATTCATAAAATTTTCTAGTTCTCTGCTGGCAGATAACAATTTTTTCCTGCAATTTGAAAAAATTGTAGTCCTATAAATTCTTACTGTTGTGTGTCTGCTGTCTGTTCGTCTGTTTTTCCTTAATCTTAAGAATAGAGTAAAATACATGAAAGCGAGAACAGATATGGAAACTGTAGGAGTAGGAAAGTTGGAATAACTGTAAAAGAACTTCCCATGAAAAAAGGAAGTTATATTATTTTAATTCGTAAACTTCCCCGAGCAGTGTTAGATAGATGACCGGCACGTCTCTATCGTTAAAAAAGTATGATGTACGGGGCGAGTTATTATTATTTTCAAGTGAATAAACTTTCAAAATAATTTTTCTTTATTTTTTAGTTCCATAATCTAACCTAACCTAACTTAACCAAAATTCTTATTGCCATTTCATTTTCTACTGCATCGAGAGCAGCATTTAGATCTTTAGTATATTGGTGAAGATCTAATCTTCGCTTGTCCTGAATTAAGATAATGCTTGGAATTTTGTCAATTATACTATAGTTATAAACATAGTATTAATTCAAATTTCAATAATTTAAAACACATTTATTATATCTAATTTATTGTTTTATGATTTATTACCTTTAATTTCTTTACAGCTATATTCGTAATCATGCACGAAAATTGTCAGAAAAATTTCAATCGCCATCTCAAGATTGTGTACACTTTGATTTTCTTACAACTTGCTGCTCTTGGTATTTTACTTTATTCTTTTTATATCCGGCATTATCACGATGTGGACTTACAACAGACAGGCAAATTGTCCGGAAAGAAATTAGAATGTTACTTCGATAACAATGTCCACTCGGGTATTGATATTAAATGTCTGACTGGTGAAAATGTCAGAGTAAGTGATATATTTTCTGCATTGTATTTTGACCAGTGTAAATATAAACAGAAACACTTCACAGATATTGATACTATGACAATTTATAAATAGATTTTAATTAGAATTTAAATTATATATATTCGCATTTATCTAATTTTTCAGGNATTCTAATAGTTGTTTGTTGTAAAATAAGTTGTTTGTGTCTTTTAACATAATTTTTAAATGAAGATAATGTATACAATGATGATTCGGAAAAGTTAGTAGAAATCAACAAAGCAATAGTTCAACTGACAGATCCATTTTACAGGAATTTAAAAAAAAAGATATATTAGAAAACTGAAATTGATCATTAAGAAAGAAAGAACAAGATTAGCTAAAGACGACTTTTCAGCGTCATTCTTTGGGAAGTCCCGATAAAGATCAAAGAGGTTTTAAAACAAGGCGAAACTTTGTTTCTGAAAATTCAAATTCTTGGATAACCTCGATTTAAGATATTAAAAGAAGGATCGCTGGGCTCCATTCATTAGAAAAAAAAATACGTTAGATGAAAAACTGTCATTAAAAAACAGTAGGTTAAAGAAAAGGAAACAGTACAAACATGGACATCAAACTTACTAAAAATTGGCTAAGGAAAAACGATTTGGTGCAACAAGGGCAAACAAAAGCAAGACGTTGGTTAACATCAGAAGACAGACTTATAACAAATTTGGCTTCGGAGGATTACATTTGAAATACAGAGTGCGAACGGGATGACAGAAAAATTATCGAGAACATCAATAAAAGAGTCAAAAAACTTAAAAGTACAAGAATCACTACTTACTGTGTTACCTTTCCTTAGAAATTGTCAGGAGTCCAAGGCATGGAATGCCTAGATTATTTGCGTTTGCCAAAACCCACAAGGAAGGTCAAGATCTAAATCTTACAGTAGAAAAGTGCAGATGACAAAATTTTATCTTGTAAAAACGGTTACATAAATTTTTCACCTCTCAGCTCGAGTACAGTCCATTGGTGGCACTGTATCCTGAAGTTGTGGTTAAAGAAATACAAGATCTAATGTTAATGTACGATGAGATAGGGACCGAATTAAACTGGAAAAGCTTGTATCTTATTAAAACGAATCCTGCATGGAAGCATTTTTAGAATTTATGCTCAGCAAGAACCCGGATTTAATTCATTACAATAATGAGGTAATAGAGCTGGCTAGTGTGGTATGTTATGAATCATGTTTCAGCTTTAATGGCTAGCCGTACAGGCAAAAAAAAAGTCTCAATAAGAAATCCGGTGTCAGGAATGTTATGTGAACTGGTAGTAAAAAAACTAGAAGAAAGTATTTTTTGTGATTTCAAAAAGGATATAGTATATTTTAAAAGATATATAGACGATGTCTTTGTACTATGGAACATTGACCAATAAATCAATGCGTTTATTGGTAAGATTAGTATTAACAATGACGTCCTTAATAGAAAGGTTCTTCAAGGATACATTTTTTAGACATAAATATTGAATTTAAAAAATGGCATTTGGTAACTAGTGTGTACGTCAAACCGGCGCAAAGAGCACTTTACATTTCATTACACTCGAATGATCCTTATCGATATAAACTGGCTGCCTTCCGAGCTCTCATTAGAAGGGCCTTTCTGTAAAAAATAGTTACGCCCACAGTCCGAAAACAGATTATTAACAAAACAGATTTTTGATTTCAAGTCTTGTTTAATTTTAGCCTGTAGATTTTAGCTATTACAAACTGGATAAAAGAAATAAATAAACTGTAAAATACTTTTTAAATGTTAAGAATGAAAAACAGGAAGTGTTTAATGTTGTATTTTGAATTACTTCTACATTTTTAAACCTGACTAGTTTTTTATTTTATTTATAGTGCTTATAATTAAAAGTATATTTTAGAAGAGTACACTAAAATATTAATTGACGATAAGTAACAAAGAATAGAGGCGCAAACTTCTGTGAGACAGAGGTACGCTATAAGGATTATAAATTTTCGTGTCGAATCGATATTTGGGTCAATAGCCAATTACAACTTACAGGAGTTGGGCCAACTTCAGGCAAGAAAAAGTAGGTCCATCTAACTACTGAGCTTTGAGTTTAGCTCTTTTGTCAGTGTGTCATTGATTGTTGCAGTACACTGTTTATTATGTAACTGGCTAGAGGTTCAACCGTCTCCGTTAAAAATGATCCCTTGACTGGTTCGAAAGAGCCATTGTGTTCTCGGAACCAATGTTCAACACATTCCTCAAGTTTTTCGTCTTCAGTACCCTAATTCTGATTTTAGGTACCAACCTATTTTTGTGGTACCTGTCGCTCAAGCCTGAAGCGACGAATGACAGTAAGAGTAAACTGTGACCGGCTCCGGATCCAGATGTTTAGGATCTACTGGGACACCCCCGAACAGGCCACTAGTACTTACTGAAAAACGACGTTTCCTCGTTTAATCTGGTTAATCGCTATACACTAAAACTATACCAGAAAAAACGCAACACGTGGCACCTACTTGGCATCCATCAGTGTAAATCTGGACACTTCTAAATGTCAGTTTCACCATCATTTTAATTCCGCCCAATCCTTTAGCCCTAATGAAATTCAGTATTTCCTATTGACAACCCAATTTAACGACTGTATACGAGTACATATACTTCCAGTGATTACCCGCTATACCCTCTACTGTTGTCCAGTAGAAGATTCGTTTAATAGCACTAACTGTATATTTAATTTATTTACTTACGTGCTACGTGTACAGTTTTATGCAGTTTATACATACTAAAAAATCAATTTGTTACAGGAGAAAAGGGACAGAAAGGGGAGAGAGGCGATTTTCAACGACCGATAGAAAACGTTCCAATAAAAGGTAATAAATTAGTAAGAATTAGTTTTAAGAGTAGGGATGAATTTTTTAAGAGGAATTGTAAATTGTCAAGTGAAATCGTCATTAAGTCGGATCCTACTGAAGATACATACATCCTCCACCATCTCCCATGCATACAGAAATTACTCCGAACTTTTTCGCATTTCTCGACGTTGCAAGGTGTCTTAAGTCTAAAAATGTAAAACGTTGGGGTCAATTTTTGACCGATCCTCAAAATTTCCTTCTGTTATACAGTATATAACAGCCGGAAATGTAATGAAAAGGAAAAGTATATGAATGTTGTGAAATTTTACTTTCAGAATATTTTTTATATATCAGCCAGTTCAATTGTATTACAATATTATATACAAAGTTATTTAAAATTTTACATAGCGATGATGTGTTTGCTTTATAATTCTAATATTTATAGTAGTATATAGAAATGTTTTCTGTTCACTAACAAAAACCTTTTGTTAACTAGTCTAACGTTGCTTATAAAACGTAACGTTAAGCGTCACAAGTGTCATTTTTTCGGATAGTTTGTAACGATAGTATTATAAAAATTCGAATGACAGTATGCATTAAATAAATGACATTTTTTATTTTCAGATTGTGTATTTGAGAAAATTGAAAATCTACAAACTTTTCAAATGCCAGAGAATTTTAGGGGTAAACATTTCATTTTTATGATGGATCCACTTCAAGAGGAAACCGAAAAAGAATTTACTATTTTCGTAAGATATTTATTTCCAAATGATGACACTGTCACAGAATATCGATTAAATACAAAAAACGAATATAAATTTGTCAAGAATTATACTATAGACGAAAATATTGACTTTTTCGGCACTGTTTACAATAGAAGCTATTTCAGTCGATATAAAAAAGAATGGAAAATTGCGAAATACAATTTCGAGACAAACGAATTGTCGTCAAGAAATGTGACTGCTGACTTTTTTCAAACAAGTCGATTTTTCTCTTTTGCATACTTTTTTACAGAGGAAAACTACCTTTGGGCAATGTACGAAACACAGTATTCTGATTCGAAAATATATTACCACCTGTTAAAAATAGATCCACGGAGTTTAAAAATTGTCTTCAACAAGTCTGTAAATTTTAGCAAATGCAGAGAAATAAATTTATTCATTACATTTGGCAGGATTTACTGCGTCAACATCAAGAAGCAGAAAATTGATTTATTGCTGGATATATACGAAAGGAAAAATCGAAAAATTACCTTAAATTTACCAACAACTAATTTGGATTTAGATTTTAATTGTNTGTCATTAAGTGCTTTAACAGAATAGTACCAGACAAGAGAATACCTCTATGCGTAATCGCAAAAAAGTTAAATAATTGGAGATAACGTACATTAAATAAACATCAAACGGCAATTAAACGCCTTAAATTCTATTAAATAAAATTAATATCATTACATGGCAAAAAAACAAAGCTTATTAATTGGTCCCTTCAAAACAGTTGTTGAAGTTTGTAGTTAGACAACACAAACTCTTCTATCTCCTGTTGGAAACAGTTCTGTAACCCTACCAAGTGTTGCTTTGAAAAAGGCTAATTATTTTCTGGGGGGTAGAATTACATCATTCACTATCAGACCTTGCTTGACTCTATACCATTTTGTTCTTTGTTGCAAATGTAATAAACAATACATTGGCTACCACTTCTAAAATGTTTGGAAAATATCTCCGTATACTTTCTTCTGTCGTTAAAACTCATAACTCCTAGAGTAACTTCTTCAGTTATTCAAATTAATGAAGATTCTATAAGGGAATGTGCATATAAGGAGAGTGTTGATATAGCTGCTGGATTATTTGACAATTGCCCTAACGTATGAAAATTAAGGCAAGCATACAATTGAGTAACAATCGTGGGAAATTCTTCGTAAGTCAATGCTTGAATTCTCTTTCTTGTTATGGTGATGTTCTATTGACCAATCTGCCATTTCACACAGCCATCCAAAACTGAGAAGCGGAAAGCTGATTGAAGGTGCATTTTATATTTTGTGTAAACAGTTACCTGAGCACGATGTCAGATTTACGAAATTCATAAAATTTTCTAGTTCTCTGCTGGCAGATAACAATTTTTTCCTGCAATTTGAAAAAATTGTAGTCCTATAAATTCTTACTGTTGTGTGTCTGCTGTCTGTTCGTCTGTTTTTCCTTAATCTTAAGAATAGAGTAAAATACATGAAAGCGAGAACAGATATGGAAACTGTAGGAGTAGGAAAGTTGGAATAACTGTAAAAGAACTTCCCATGAAAAAAGGAAGTTATATTATTTTAATTCGTAAACTTCCCCGAGCAGTGTTAGATAGATGACCGGCACGTCTCTATCGTTAAAAAAGTATGATGTACGGGGCGAGTTATTATTATTTTCAAGTGAATAAACTTTCAAAATAATTTTTCTTTATTTTTTAGTTCCATAATCTAACCTAACCTAACTTAACCAAAATTCTTATTGCCATTTCATTTTCTACTGCATCGAGAGCAGCATTTAGATCTTTAGTATATTGGTGAAGATCTAATCTTCGCTTGTCCTGAATTAAGATAATGCTTGGAATTTTGTCAATTATACTATAGTTATAAACATAGTATTAATTCAAATTTCAATAATTTAAAACACATTTATTATATCTAATTTATTGTTTTATGATTTATTACCTTTAATTTCTTTACAGCTATATTCGTAATCATGCACGAAAATTGTCAGAAAAATTTCAATCGCCATCTCAAGATTGTGTACACTTTGATTTTCTTACAACTTGCTGCTCTTGGTATTTTACTTTATTCTTTTTATATCCGGCATTATCACGATGTGGACTTACAACAGACAGGCAAATTGTCCGGAAAGAAATTAGAATGTTACTTCGATAACAATGTCCACTCGGGTATTGATATTAAATGTCTGACTGGTGAAAATGTCAGAGTAAGTGATATATTTTCTGCATTGTATTTTGACCAGTGTAAATATAAACAGAAACACTTCACAGATATCATTGATACTATGATAATTTACAAATATATTTCAATTAGAATTTAAATTATATATATTCGCATTTATCTAATGTTTTAGGCAAATGATTTTCGGACACTTTCCGTTGCAGTGAATGCCTTATGTCAAAATAATTGTCAAAAATTACCAGGTATGTATTAAATAATATTTTACTCGCTTTTCGAATATTAAAAATACAATATTTTATGTTTCTATAAAAGTTATATTATTGCTATAACATTTTTGCATATAAACAACCCTTTACATATGTATGGAGAGTTTTGATTCACTTTAAAATTTAGAGTGCTATAAACGCAATTCATTAAATTGTACCATGAAAAAGGATTTATTTTATTCTAACATTTTCCTTATCAATGTATGCGTATATATGCTATGGACGATAGTTTAAGTATAAAACTGCATCGGAACCTGAAATGTTGTATGTATTACTGCTGATTAATTGCAGTGGCCATGACCTCGCTGAAATGCATTTTTTTAGTGAAATTGTTTTATAAAAAAGCCAGCAACAGTGCGAAAATAGTCCAAAAGTTCAATAGTCCGACGTCTTAACCACTCGATACACGGTCCAGAAGTTAGGGGATTCGTCTCTAACAAGCAATTAAGCAATTAAGTAATCAGTCTGTACAGAAACATACAACATCATAAACAGAATAGGAACATGAAATTTTGAATCATTTAATGGAATATAATCAAACGCATGGATTAAAATAACTTAAAACCCGATGCAAACTAATTAAAGGTTTATATGAAAGTATAAAAAAAGTACAAATGTATATATATATATAATGTTAAAGTTTTCACACTTTAATATAGTAACGAATATACGCAGAAGAATTTCATATATATGTGAAAAAGGGTGCATAATTATTGCAGTCTGTATGCAATCTTCTATTATTGTATTTTATGTGGAAGTAAACTTATTTTTTGTATTTGCAACTGTTAATAACAAAAGTGAGTACGTTTTACCAAAACTTCTATTCTCGTTTGTTGTTTATTTATTATTGATTTCATTTTCTATTGCCACTTCTACGTTATAATATTGTTTTACATTGATTAACTAGCTTTCATTACACGAGAAATTCGATATTATAAACAAGAAGTCTGGAAATTAAAAGAGAAATTAACGAAATTGGAAAAAATCCGAGAACAGAAATTTAGAAAAAAACGTAGTTTGAACGAAAGCCAAGAAGGATGCGAAATCTTGCTCGAAGAAGAATGGAGAGTAGAACACAGTACACACGAACCAACTGGAAATTATTGCATCAAAGTAANTATAAGAATTTCTTCTTTAAACATTAAATAGAACTTTTTAAATAAGGAAAATATAAAATAAACTTATATTAAATACAAATACGTTTAATATTACAGTAAAACTTCATATAAAAATATTTATAGTACATTTGATCACATTCGATTTTGAAAGAGTGTTGGGTATTTTCTGATTTTCAATGTTAAATTATTAATTTGGTTTAAATTTTGAGAAATGCAAAAAATTATTCAGTAGTTATCGCATCGAAAATAAAAATATTATTGCGGATTGATGAGGAAAGGCAATACAACACATGGACCATCTACGAATGTGAAATATTTCTCAAGAGGACTTCCAAATACTTTTTTGAGAAATACTTTAACTGAGAAACTCAGCTAAAGTATTACTCAGTTTCTCAGCAAAACTGAGGTGTTACAATGTAAAAGAACCACAGAAAACTTTACGTAGCCATTGTATTGGTCAGGCACGAACAGCGATAACCTTTCAAGTTACAGAACACGGTAACATTTACAGTTCACGGTAACATTTAGTGGCGTGAAAGTTATGATATTTTATTAAGAAACATTTTTTTATATTTTTAACTATTAGAAAATGAAAAAAGCTTAATTGTCAGTGTAGGAATGGGTTTTATAAAAAAAAAAAAACTGTAAGGGCGAATCACGAGTAAAATCTTCATTAAATCTGACCCCACTGCAGATACACACTTTCCCTTTATCTCTTCATTCTTTTTATTATCTATCACAAAAAGCACAGGAGTTATTAAGCTTTAAAAAGGGTAAACAAAATCGAACTCCCCAAAAACTCTAACGTCTGTACATAGAGAAAAACCCTCGAATATTTTTTGAATTTTTTGACGTTTCAAAGACCCCTGAGTCCAAAAGTGGGAATGGGTTACTTTTAACCGATCGCCATATTTTTCCTCTGTTAAATATAACTGCAAAAAAGTAAAAACGTTTATAATAGTAAATGTGTAAACACTTTCATACACTAAGTTATAATAGTATACACGTAGTTTACACGAAGTATTGCAATTTTATATTTTGTATTAAGAAACTTTTCTAGATATTTAATATTCTGTTTTGCACGTATATATTTAACCACATTTGTAATAAGTATATGCAATGTAAATTTACATTATTTTTCTCAGTATGGTAACCCCTAAACTGATCATGTCAATCACTCAAGTACAGCGTGTTTAATATGATACGAAATACCAACGAACTGAGTATTATAAAATTGAATAGTGTCTTTAATGCTTAATATTTCATTTAAATGCCTTGAGGAATTGTTTTCGTTTTCAGCTTGCAATGCTTTTAAAATAAATCGAACCCTGATCTTGACTATTGTTAGTGTAGCTGTTACTTATACAACTATTGTTAGTCAGTATGCATAATTTCTTGATTTCTGCTAAAAGTAATGTGCATTAATAACATAAGTATAGTCATTCACTCATTATCAAATAAGTTATATCATAAATTTTACACTTTAAGTTGTGACAATGTGAATTCAATTCTATTACAAATCTAACGTGTCATAACACTAGTAATAGTATAATAAGAGAAAATTTCTTCGTCGATATAGAATGGCGAATGAAGTGTGAATTTAACTCCTAATTAACAATTTCATTTCATTGTATTTATGTATAGAGAAACCTTTAAATTAACAATTGGTTTAATAAAGTAATATTAATTTAGTGCTTTTTACGGTTATATTATTAAAAATATATCGAATTATAATACAGTACTATTTGTTACTCGTACAACATCGTCAATAGGCTGTAATTAAGAAATGAGACAATAAAAATTAAATTGTAAAAACAATGTACTACTATCTGTGTGTATCTTTGTCGTAATATTATTGTTTACAGAGCTTACAACTGGTTATTACTTGTATTTTAATTTCATTCTATTTCCGTTTATGGAAATGTACATTTACATAAATTATAAAACTCCTAATTATAAAACTTTACAATTCGGTAAAAAACAGTGGATTGACAATTATCTATAGATATTCGAATAAATATTACATGAGAAATGACTGAGCTTATACAAGAAAAAATCAAATATGTTTCATGCCAAAAATGTGTTTTTGATAAACTTGTGTTCCTGAAATAATTAATACATATGAAAAATCTAAAAACACTTTTTAAATGCAGGCAGTTGTAGATTGTTTTATTTACTTTTTATACACAATAGGTTATAATAAAATGCACAATAATGTTCTATTTTATTTTATATTATATAAGAACGATAATTTTATAAAATAAATTTAAGTAGATATCTGGTTTAAAGTACAGTATTCTTACATCCGTATGCTGAAATTTGCCATTATTAAACGTACCTAGCAATTTTTTGATATTCACATCCATTAATAGACTAGTTGATGGACTTCTAAAAATGCTAATCTGTTTTCTGCAAATACTGAAAAGGGTGTATATTTCGGCATATACGTAAGCATACATCTCGTGTAACGTTTAACGATTTATTACATCATGAGTAACAGATAGCGACGAAATTTTTCCGTTACTCTGTATTTCGTATTCTAATATGACCTCTAGTTTAAACTAGAAGATTTATATAGTTAATCTAGGCTTCCTGTCATTGATCTTTCCAATCTGTACTCCACTTTTATCTAACTAACTAACTTCACGATTTCGAATAAAGAGAGGCAGACAACAAACAGTTAGATGACTATCGGAATTTAATAAATCTACATTTTTTTTTTTCAAATTATAGCCCAATAATTTTTGCTATAAACACGATATTATCGAGAACATACTTTCCACATAGTTTATACAATTTGTTGTACAAATAGAAACAATTTATTATCGAATAAAAACAATTATTTTCGCATTTTTTGCATGATTTTTTTTAATTTAAACAATTCGTATGAAGTATTTCAGAGGTTAGAGTTTTCTCTGTAATATCAAACACGATAGACGATGAATGTTAGTAGAAATAAACAAAGTCATATCAACTCGTTTAGTGTTGATGCATTTGTATTAATTACCAATGTATATGCGCAGTTCTAAATAACCTTTGTTCTTGAATATACTGTCTGGCAACACGAATTTCGACACGTAACCAATATAAAGTCTTCCAATACTATTGATAAAGTATAATTACTCCGCACTCAATTTCTCGACCAGAGATTTATCTTTGAAGGTAAGCATTACAAATTCATTAGTAAAGGTTTAAATATTGTTATCGTACATTTAAAGCTACGGTTCCAAATCTAAAGTAATGTTTACTCCAACAAGTATTAGATAAATGACCGGTACGACTCCATTAGTAAGGAAAACTATAATGTACTGTACATGGACAAGTCACTAGTAATTTGAGGTGGAGAGCAAATACTTTAAATTAAATAAATTAAAATTGCAGCCCGGCATTGTGACGATGCCACAATAAGTAATTGCTCGTTTTATGCTGTTTTTAAACTAATTTTGCGTTATTTTAACTTAAAAAATTGTCAATTTTAAAAAGTAATTTATTAAGTTCATCTGAATTAAAGGAATTTAAAATTAATCATTTTATCTATTTATTTTATTTCAATTTTATAAATATTAACTAACTTTCCTGTATACCTAGTAGTGATTTATTTCCTCTTTCTAAAAAAAATGTTTGTACATAATCTTTCAATTATAACCTAAGTAATTTTCAAACATCGGTTTGTTTATAATACATGATATTTAATTCGTCCTTGTCCTTAATTACTTATATTATACTTCTGTTGACTTTGTACCCTATTGTGAATTAGTAGTTGTTACACTGAGAGAAGAAAAATTGTGTCTATTAGTGTAACACGTCTTAGGTCACAAGAAGGTACCGTGCAAAGTTAATAGAAGTATAATATATTTAAATAATATTTGTTTGGTGACCTACCAAACGTTTCGTCATCGTGCATCCCTTTCGAGAAAAGGTCAGTTTAGATAAAAACACTGCTGTCTTATCTTCGTATTTCTTAAATCTCAAACTCGACAAATACAGGACTTATCATACAGGATATGTACCACGTATTAAAAAGAACGAAGAAAAATTAATCACTCTGAATTGTCGTTCGATGTTGTTTTAGGTTCGTGTTTGCTGTTGTTCATTTTGATGTCTTAAATATTTCTACAGCGTGTGGTACTGTATGATATAACCACTTTTAGTAAATAATATTCACATAAAGCAAATTAAACTTTCGAACAATGTATTTTATCGTTGATTATTCTGAAGTAATGAAAATAAAAGTATCTATAATACTTCTGTCCTGTCCCGGGCTTAGCGAATGAAAATGTATACTTGTCATATTATAAGTGGCAATCGAACTCTTTAATCTTTAATAGTTTCAAAGAAATATTACGTTATCGAGCAGTTAAAAATAACATTCTTGATATTTCAAAATCTGTTTGCATACTTTTCTGTCTTTCAACACTTAATAGAGAGGTTGCGGTCGCATTCTCTCTATTATCTTAAGTGTTTTTTTCTTCCTGATTTCCCTTACTTGTAAAAAACATCTGGATGTCTCCAGAAAAAAACTTTTATCTTATGTTCCAATTACTATGGAATTGAAATTAGATTATGGAAGCGTCGGTTGATTTGTTATACAATACGAAAAATCTAAGTAAGATTTGATCGTTAGCGGATGCCAAAGAATGTTTGGGTTACAAGCTTAAACATTTTTTGAAATAATTTTTTTTTCTTTCTATATCCAAAAGTGCTTTTTGCCGTAGCTGTTTGTCTGTGCAAATTTTATGGTTATCGAATCATAAAAACGCAAAAAACTAACTAAGGGACACTTGGTAAACTCTAGTTCATGAAAAATACTAAAACATTACTAAATATATCATTAAGTGCTTTAACAGAATAGTACCAGACAAGAGAATATTTCTATGTGTAATCGCAAAATGTTAAATAATAAGAGATAACCTAAATTAAATAAGCATCAAACGGAAATTAAACGCCATGAATTCTATTAAATAAAATTAATATCATTACATGGCGAAAAACAAAGATTATTAATTGGTCCCTTCAAAACAGTTGTTGAAGTTTTTAGTTAGACAACACAAACTCTGCTATCTTCTGCTGGAAACAGTTCTGTCACCCTAGCAAGTGTTGCTTTGAAAAAGCCTAATTATTTTTTAGGGTAGATGGTAGAATTACATCACTCACCATCAGACCTCGCTTGACTTTATACCATTTTGTTCTTTGTTGCAAATGTGATAAACAGTACATTGGCTATCACTTCTAAAATGTTTGAAAAATATCTCCATCTACTTCTTCTGTCGTTAAAAGTCATAACCCCTAGAGTAACTTCTTCATTTATTCAAATTAATGATGTTTCCGTAAGGAAATGTGCATACAGTAGAGCCTCGATTATCCGACCCCCGATTAACCGACACCTCGGTTAACCGATCGTCCTAGTTTGCAAATTTCAAATGTCCGCTAGTGATGTGGTGCTACAATATTTGGCTATGTCTTGGCTACTTTAATATTATTTTTACGTGTTTTAGCTGGCAACATCATTCGACCATGAAAGGGAGCCGGTATTTAAACGAGGCTTAATTTTCTAATTTTTAACGATACAATAGCGGCAATTATTATTTTAAAAAATTTTTGTTAGGCTTAACATCGATGAAAATTCAACGAAAAGTAGGTTAATGGCGATATACTAATATACTAATTATATGGGATATAACAAGGGTGGGCAACCTTTTTTATAACATGGGCCAGAATAAATTTTACGTTTTTCCGCGGGCCATAGTAGTTAATTGACACCTTGTGACCTGTAAACGTTTAGTCTGCAAATATGAAATAAATAAATAAAAAGAAATTAATTACTACAGTCGATCCCCCCTACAACACTGTTGATTATTCCGTTTTATATGAATTCCATGTTGTAGGAGTCACTTAGATTTTACAAATGCGTGTGCCGGGCTGTGAATGGCTCATCTATTTGTAAAATCTAAGTGACTTTAAACACAATAAAAACAGCACTATGTAGTTGGATACGACAGACATTACATTTTCTAATTGCATAGCTTTAGCATATAGATTTTCTTGATGGATGATGCGATGAGATATAAATAATTTAGAAAAATTCTGTACTCCCATTTTTTGTTTGAATAAGGAAATGACTCCTTTATTTTTTCCTGTCATTGCTGCTGCAACACTTCAGAAAATAATATTCAATTTAAACTAGACGAATTATATCGAAATATATTTATTTATAATTTCTTCTAAACATCTCGCGGGCCGGATAGAAACTTTTCGCGGGCCGTAGCTGGCCCGCGGGCCGGGGGTTGCCCACCGTTGGGATATAATAATATACTACACTAATAATGGATTTTTTCATACTTTTCGGTCATCCGAGTTTTCAATTATCTAACCAACCCCAGTCCCCAATTGAGTCGGATAATCGAGGCTCTACTGTATAAGGAGAGTGCTGATATAGCTGCTGAATTATTTGACAAATGCCCTAACGTATGAAAATTAAGGCAAGCATACCATTGACCCAATGTTCCATTGACCACTCTGCCGCCTCACATGCCATCCAAAACTGAGAAGCAGAAAGTCGATTGAAGGTGCATTTTATATTATGTGTAAACAATTACTTGAGCACGATGTCAGATTTACGAAATTCATAAAATTTTCTAGTTCTATGCTGGCAGATAACAATTTTTGTCCTGCAGTTTAAAAAAAAATTGTAGTCCTATAAATCCCAACTGTTATGTGTATGCCAACTTTCGTCTGTTTTTCCTTAATCTCAAGAATAGTGTTATTGATAGATACATGGAAGCGAGAGCAGATATGGAAACGATAAAAGTAGGAAGCTCGGAATAACTGTACAATAATTTCCCATGGAAAAAAATAAGTGATATTATATTAATTCCAAAACGTTTTCCCGACAAGTGTTAGATAGATGACCGGCACGTATCATCGTTTCATCGTTAAAAAAAGTATGATGTACAGGGGCGAGTAATTATTAATTTCAAGTAAATAACATACATTTTAAATGAAATAAATTAAAATACGAGTAAGAATTGCAGTCCGTAGTTGTGACCATGTCACAATCTATCTAATATTTCTTTTTGGGGTCCGTCCATAAATTACGTAAGGACGATTTCGGCTATTCTAGATCCCACTCCCCTTCCCTATCTTACGTAATATTTAAGCATGTTTTATAGAAAGATTTTAACAAAGAATTTTTATTATGAAACCTTAAATCCTTAGGTTTAAAATATATAGTTATTAATTAGTTAATTAATATGTACTATTATTTATAAAAGACTTTATGTGAACAAATTTCAAAATGTAAAAATTTAATGAATTCGAATAAACAATTTATTTTAAGAACTTTATTTTTTAATTATTAACAATTTTTTTATTATTATTATCATTAATCGACGTCATAATATTTATTTTTATATAAATTTTAATATTCACAGAAAGAGGCAAAAAAACTTTGACAGCTGGAGTAGCTAGTGCACGTATAAACAGAAACGACATACAAAATAAATTAAGAGAATAAAGAGAAACCATATTCTGTTACCATATTGATTTTTGCCATATTCTATTGCCATATTGAATATCGACTGACCTTGCCTAAGGCCAAGAAAATGAACTACATGCTGCTAAAATGTGCTAGGTCCACCTGGGGACTAAATCATAAAACTTGAAAAACTCTATACAATGAAGCAATACAACCAATACTACTTAATGCGGCCTCTAGCTCGTGTCATGTAACTAGTAAAAATTTAGTAGCAAGTATATTACTCTCTCTTCAAACACAGTTTGCCGTTAGAATTTCAAAGTGCTGCAGAACTGTTTCTACTAATGCATCTGATACTTTCAGAGCTCCTTCCTATGCCACTACGTACTGTAGAAAATATTCTGAACTACTACACTAGAACTACAAACATCAGGGCTCAATAACGGTCTCTACTCCTATCTACGGCTGTTTATACGCTACCGCATTGCAATTACCCTACTATGTCTGATCATTATCTTGTAAACAAGGTCATTCCCAGGGTACATTTAGTGTCATCTGCTTCCTCCGTGGATAACCATGCAGACATTAATATATACACAGATGGGTCCAAAAGCTCCCTTTGTGTTGGCTCCAGCAACTGTATCTTCCTCCGAACTAACATATTATGCCCAATATATGTTAGAAGGTACAGATACCCCCCACATATCAAGCTGAAGAAAATGCTGTCTACCAAGCTGTTCAATGGGACACTTAACTACCAAACAAACATTTACTGTGTATCAACATTTACAGTGATTCTCAGTCTGTCCTAAAAGCTCTATTAATTCTTAATTGCAATAGCGATAAAATTACGTATATTCAGCACCATATTAAACATTTGTAAATAAGATGACTTTTATATTTGTTCCTGGACATACAAGCATACTAGATAATGAAAAAGCCGACTTTGAGGCTAAGTCAGCTGCAAAGGACTTGGACTACACTCACATCCCTCTCTCACGTAGTAGCCTTAAAAATTATATTCAAGACAATGCTATGTAAAAGGGGAATCAACAAGGGTTGAGCAGTAAAACTCGTAGAATAACAAGACTATACTTTCCTAGTGTTAAATGCAAGTTTTCATCGCCACTTAAAGATTTAACGTTTGCTACTGCCCAACTACTTAATAAGCATGGTAATTTTAGAATTTACCTGGCGATGTATAACCGGGCAGAAACTGCTTCTTGCTTTCGCTCTACAGAAAACCTACACAACGTCGACCATATGATCTATCATTGTCCAATTTACAATGAAGTTAAACTTATACTGAAATTAAAAATCTTTACGCTTGGTTTCAGTTGGCCATGTCCACTCGACATGCTTGTTCAGAAGCCACTGTTTGATGCTTTTTACAATTATGTTCAAAATATATGGAAGTAAAGGCTATAATTTCTAATTTCTAGTATTACATTTTAATTTTCACTGAAAGACGAATACTAATTTTATGTTAACTTTTTATCATGTATTTTGGTTTACGTATTCTTAGTGTTATACACCCATAGAACTGGTGCACTTATTCTAATAAAAAAAAAGAGATATAAATTTCTCTCTCACTCTCTTTTTTTATTACACGGTCTTTCTTCCATGATAAAAAGTGAGTCTGCTAGCGTTATTATTTTATCACGTCACACGAGATGGCGTTAGTACAACGAGCGTTCTTAATAGAAACGGCCAAATCGAAGCCAAATTCAAAACTCCACCACTCAATGAGATAAAAAAAATAAAAATAAGAATATTACGTAAGACGAGATCTATTAACCCTTCCCCCTTAGTAATAAATCGTAAAAAATCCTTCACCCCCATTCACCTCAAAATACCTTACGTAATTTATGGACGGCTCCTTGCTGAAAATTTTTTAGTGATGCATGAAATGCTTCAGGTGTCTTGTTACTGAATATTTCGAAGCAAAACTGTTTTAACGACAAAACATAAATACTGTATGCATATAAGAACATCACTGCCTCTTCTGGGCTTAAATTTTAAAAGATCCTTCAAAATCTGTTGTAGGTTTCAAAAAATCTTTCTTTCTGTAGTGGTTTCTACTAGTCTTATGTACAACTATAGTACAAAAGACTACTAAGTACTACTTTCGACATCAGTAAGATTTACCATTATATAATATCTGCTTCAGCACATTTTACACAAAACCAAATAAATTTCATATAGCTGCTTATTGCCTAACCTAAATTCTGCCTAACCTAAATTCTACCTAACCTAAATTCTTATTGCCATTCCATTTTCTAGTGCATTGACAGCAGCATTTAGATCTTTAGTGCATTAGTGTAGGTCTAATCTTCGCTTGTTCTGAATTGAAATAATGCTTGGAATTTTGTCAATTATACTATGGTTTTAAATATATTATTAATTCAAATCCTAATAATTTCAAACACATTTATTGTATCTAATTTATTGTTTTATGTTTTAAAATTACTCTCAATTTCTTTACAGCAATATTCGTAATCATGCACGAAAATTGTCAGAAAAATTTCAATCGCCATTTCAAGATTGTGTACACTTTGATTTTCTTACAACTTGCTGCTCTTGGTATTTTACTTTATTCTTTTTATATCCGGCATTATCACGAAGTGGACTTACAACAGACAGGCAAATTGTCCGGAAAGAAATTAGAATGTTACTTCGATAACAATGTCCACTCGGGTATTGATATTAAATGTCCGACTGGTGAAAATGTCAGAGTAAGTGATATATTTTCTGCATTGTATTTTGACCAGTGTCAATATAAACAGAAACATTTTACAGATATTATTGATACTATGAGAATTTACAAATATATTTTAATTAGAATTTAAATTACATATATTCGCATTTATGTAATTTTTCAGACAAATGATTTTCGGACACTTTCCGTTGCAGTGAATGCCTTATGCCAAAATAATTGTGAAAAATTACCAGGTAAGTATTGAATAATATTTTACTCGCTTTACGAATATTATAAATACAATATTTTATGTTCCTATCGAAATTACTTTACTGCTATAACATTAAATTTTTGCATATAACCCATACAACCCTATACATATGTATGGAGAATTTTAATTTACTTTAAAATTTAGGATGCTATAAATGCAATTCATTTAATTGTACCGTAAAAAGAGATTTATTTTATTAAAGATATTTTCCTTATCTTTGTATGCGTATATGCTATAGACGATATTTTAAGTATCAAACTGCATCAGCATTTGCATTGTCGTATGTAATACTGCCGATTAATTGAAGTAGCCATGACCTCGCTGAAATGCACTTTTTAGTGAAATTGTTTTATAAAAAAGCCAGCAACAGTACGAAAATACTTCAATAGTCCGACATCTTAACCATTCGATACACGATCCATGAGTTAGGAGATTTATGTCTAACACTTAAGCAATTATATAATCAGTCAGGGGTTTGTACCAAAACATACAACATCATAAGCATAATAGGAAAATAAAATTTTGAATTATATAATATAATATAATTAAACTCACGGATTAAAATAACTTAGAACCCGATGCAAACTAATTCATTTAATAACAAAAATAAGTACGTTGTACCAATACGTTTATTTTCGTTTTTGTTTATCTATTATTTATTTGATTTTCTATTGCCATTTTTCTGTTATAATTTTGTTTTATATTTATTAATTAGCTTTCATTACACGAGAAATTCGATATTATAAACAAGAAGTCTGGAAATTAAAAGAGAAATTAACGAAATTAGAGAAAATCCGAGAACAGAAATTCAGAAAAAGACGTAGTTTGAACGAAAGCCAAGAAGAATGCGAAATCTTGGTTGAGGAACAATGGAGAGAAGAACACGGTACACACCAAACAACCGGAAATTACTGCATCAAAGTAATTCTATCATAATATATTTCTTAATCAATTTATAATATCTATTTTTTCTGGTTGAATGAGCACTGCTTTTAATAAATACTTTAAGTATAGGTACACAATAAGCAATTTAAACATTTAACATCCTTAACTGATCAGAGTTTGATGTAATTAAAAAAAATTTTAAATATAAATTTAGCTATCATCTCTTGAGACGTTCGTCCGAAAAACTATTGGTTTAGTTCATGAAAATAGTCCAGGACACGGAGGTATTTTTTAATTAATTAATTATTTAAATGAAAAAGTAATACGATTTAAATATCTTGTTTGATTTCAATCGAAATCAGTTTTAGTTGGAGAAAAAGGACAAAAAGGTGAATCTGGACTGAAAGGAAATAAAGGAGATAAAGGTAAATAAAGAATTTCCCTTTCGCAACTCACATAAAAAAAACAAAAGTATTGACCCAAGTAATGTTTCTTTTTTTGTATAAATACTTCGTTGTAAGCGAAGTTTCAAAAGTGACTTTGATATTAACAACTGAATTAAAAAAGTAATTTTTATTTTGAAAAATTTACTTTAAATTATTATAAATTTATAATAAAATACTCGAGGGAGTAAAATGAATAATACTATGATCACAAATTTAAGCCTGGCATTGTGGCCATGTCACAATAAATAATCGCTGAATAGTTTTTGTTATGCTCTTAAATTTAATTTATTATTACAACTATTTCCATATGAACGACCCTGTATATTTAAAATTATACATGAATTACTTCAATTTATTTCACTTTTACCTAAATTAACTATTAAAATAAAATAATCTTAATGTATTAAATAATATATTTACAAAATTTATGATGAAAGGTGAGAGAGGAAATCAAGAAATCCCGGGAAAAGAAGGCATTGGAGGAGAAAAAGGAACTGAAGGAATACCCGGAAAACAAGGCGAACAAGGTCCAATTGGGCCACCGGGAATTTCAGGTCAAACGGGTAAATATATTAAAATAATTAATATAAAATATGGATATAGGTACTTTTATTATACAGTATTGTCTATTCACGAAATAATGGTTTTATTAACCTTTTTTAAAAGCAAAGGGAAACGATGGCATTAAAGGTAAATGCTGTATTAACATACGAATCTCATAATTTTATATTGAAAAATTTAATGAACATATCTATTTTTCTACGTTTCATTTATGTTTGGTGAGGTGAAAAAGGAGAACCAGGATTTCCAGGAATTCCAGGTCTAAAGGGTAAATAAATTAAAGTAATTAATATAAAATTTAGATAGTTGCATTATATCGTTTATTCACAATGTCATGGTTACATATACGTTTTCCTGACGTGATGGCATACCAGGACGAAAGGGAGACGATGGAACACCTGGTATTAAAGGTAAATAGAAATATACGAATCCCATAATTTTATATTGAAAAATGAATTTGCACATATCTTTTAACATTTCATTTATATAATTTTTTTTTATTATTTGTTGTAAGGTGAAAGAGAAAAACAAGGACTTCCAGGTTAAAAATAAGAAAATTAATGTAGCTATTTTTATTATATTGTCTATTTATAATACCATTGTTTTGTGAAGGTTTTCCTGGAATTGCTGGTATACCAGGTTTAAACGGAGATGATGGAATACCTGAAATTAAAGGTAAATTGATTAATTGGATACTTATGATTGTTCGTTGTAAAATAAGTTGCTTGTGTCTTTTAACATATTATTTTTTAAATGAAGATAATGTATACAATGATGATTCGGAAAAGCTAGTAGAAATCAACAAAGGAATAGTTGGGCTGACAGATCCAGTTCATAGGAATTTAAGAAAAAGATATATTAGAAAAATAAATGGATCAATAAAAAAGTAACAACAAGATTAGCTAAGGACTACTTTTCAGCATCATTCTTTGGGACTAAATAGAGGTTCCGACAAAGATCAAAAAGGCTTTGAAAGAAGGCAAAACTTTGTCTTGGAAAATTCAAATTCTTGGGAAACCTCGATTCAAGAAATCGAAAGAAAGATCGCTGGGATCCATTCATTAGAAAAAGAATACCTCAGATGGAAAACAGTCGTTAAAGGCCATGAGGTTATAGGAAAGGAAACAGCACAAACATGGACATTAAACTTACAAAACATTGGCTAAAATAAAACGATTTGGTTGCAACAAGGGCAGACAAAAGCAAGACGTTGGCTAACATCAGAAGACAGACTTATAACATATTTAGCTTTGGAGGATTACATTTATAAAAAGAGAGTGCGAACGGGTTGATACAAAAACTATCGAGAACATCGATAAAAGAGTGAAGAAACTTAAAAGTACAAGACTCATTATTTACTGTGTTACCTTACCTTAGAAGTTGTCAGGACTCCAAGGCCTGGAATTCCTAGGTTATTTGCGTTTGCCAAAACCCACAAGGAAGGTAAAGATCTAAATCTTACAGTAGAAAAGTGAGGACCAAATTTTATCTTGTAAAAACGGTTATATAAATTTTTCACCTCTCAGCTCGAGAACAGTCCATTGGTGGCACAGTATCCCGGAGTTGTGGTTAAAGAGACACAAAATCTAATGTTAATTTACGATGAGATAAGGACCGAATTAAACTATAAAAGCTTATATTCTATTAAAACGAATCCTGCATGGAAGTATTTTTAAAATTTATGCTCAGCAAGAATTCGGATTTTCTTCATTACAATGAGGTGATAGAGCTGGCTAGTCTGGTATGTTATGAATCATGTTACACTTTTAATGTCTAGCCATACAAGCAAAAAGGAGAAGTCCCAATGGAAAGTCCGGTCTCAAGAATATTATGTGAACTGGTGGTTAAAAAAAAAACAAAAAGAAAGTGTTTGTGATTTCAAGAAGGATATACTATATTTTATAAGATATAGAAGAAATAAAGAAACTGTAAAATAATTTTTAAATGTTAAGAATGAAAAATAGTCAGTGNTCTATTAAAACGAATCCTGCATGGAAGTATTTTTAAAATTTATGCTCAGCAAGAATTCGGATTTTCTTCATTACAATGAGGTGATAGAGCTGGCTAGTCTGGTATGTTATGAATCATGTTACACTTTTAATGTCTAGCCATACAAGCAAAAAGGAGAAGTCCCAATGGAAAGTCCGGTCTCAAGAATATTATGTGAACTGGTGGTTAAAAAAAAAACAAAAAGAAAGTGTTTGTGATTTCAAGAAGGATATACTATATTTTATAAGATATAAAAGAAATAAAGAATCTGTAAAATATTTTTTAAATGTTAAAAATGAAAAATATTCAGTGTTCAATGTTGTATTTTGACATTTAATACAATAAGTTGATATTTAATTTATTGGCAATTTATTGTTGTATTTTAAATTGCTTCCACATTTTTAAACTTGACTAGTTTTTTTCTTTTATTTACTGTATTTATAATTTAATGTATATTTCAGAAGCGTTCACTAAGAAATTAATTGACAAAAAGTAAGAACTAATAGAGGCGCAAACTTCTGTGAAACAGAGGTACGCCATAAAGATTATAAATTTTCGTGTCGGGTCGATATTTGCGTCAATAGCCAATTACAACTTACAGGAGTTGGGCCAACTTCAGGCACGAAAAAGTAGGCTCATCTAACTACTGAGCTTTGAGTTTAGCTTTTTTGTCAGTGTGACATTGATTGTTGCAGTACACGGTTTATTATGTAACTGGCTGGAGGTTCAACCGTTTCCGTTAGAAATGATCCCTTGACTGGTTCGAAAGAGCCATTGTGTTCTCGGAACCAATGTTCAACACATTCCTCAAGTTTTTCGTCTTCAGTACCCTAATTCTTATCTTCGGTACCAACCTTTTTGTGGTACCTGGCGCTCAAACCTGCAGCGACAATGACAATGAGAGTAAACCGTTACTGGCTCCAGATCCGGATGTTGTAGGATCTACTGGGACACCTCCCGAACAGGCCACCAGTACTTCCTGGAAAACGACGCTTCTTCGTACAATCTGGTTAATCACTATACACTAAAACTATATTAAAAAAAAAAAACGCAGCACGTGGCACCTACTTGGCATTCATCGGTGTAAATCTGGACACTTCTAAATGTCAGTTTCACCATCATCCCAATTCAGCCCAATCCTTTAGCTCTAACGAAATTCAGTATCTCCTATTGACAATCCACTTTAACATCTGGCTACATATACTTACAGTGCTTAGCCGCTATACCCTCTACTGTTGTCTAGTAGAAGATTGCCTTCTAATGTTAGATTAGGCAAAATATGGTAGTTACCCAAAACCCAACTTCCTTTCGCTTTATACATTTAATTACACCAAAATGATGTATTGTCGTAATTGTACAGAAAGCTTTCAACCATTTCATTTAATTTAAAAATTTCAAAAATTGGGACAGTATTTTATATCTGGAAGTATTAGAATTTCATTGTCTGGTGTCTTCAATTAACACTACATTTTGGTTCAATAGCACTAACTGTGCTATTGAACCAAAATGTAGTGTCCTGTAACGTGCTACGTGTACAGTTTTATGTAGTTTATACATATTAAAAAATTGATTTGTTACAGGAGAAAAGGGACAGAAAGGAGAGCGAGGCGATTTTGAACGACCGATAGAAAACGGCTATTTTTATTATATTGTCTATAATACCATGGTTTTTGTGAAGGTTTTCCTGGAATTGCTGGTATACCAGGATTAAACGGAGATGATGGAATACCTGGTATTAAAGGTAAATTAGATTAATTGGATTCTCATGANGTAGTGTCCTGTAACGTGCTACGTGTACAGTTTTATGTAGTTTATACATATTAAAAAATTGATTTGTTACAGGAGAAAAGGGACAGAAAGGAGAGCGAGGCGATTTTGAACGACCGATAGAAAACGTTCCATTAAAAGGTAATAAATTAGTAAGAATTAGTTTTGAGAGTAGAGGTGAATTTTTTAAGTCGAGTAAATTGTCGAGTAAAATCGTCACTAAGTCAGATCCTACTGAAAATACATACAACTTCCATTATTTCCCATGAATACAGAAATTACCCCAAACTTTTTTGCATTTCTCGACGTTGCAAGGTGTCTTAAGTCTAAAAATGTAAAACGTTGGGGTCAATTTTTGACCGATTCTCAAACTTTCCCTCTGTTATACAGTATATAACAGACGGGAATGTAATGAAAAGGGAAAGTATATGAATGTTGTGAAATTTTACTTTCAGAATATTTTTTATGTATCAGCACGTTCAATTGTTTTACAATATTATATACAAAGTTATTTAAAATTTTACATAGCGATGATGTGTTTGCTTTATAATTCTAATATTTATAGTAGTATATAGAAATGCTTTATGCTCACTAACAAAAATCCATTGCGAACTAGTCTAACGTTGCTTATAAAACGTAATGTTAAGCGTCATAACTGTTTTTTTTCGGATAATTTGTAACGATAGTATTATAAAAATTCGAATGACAGTATGCATTAAATAAATGACATTTTTTTATTTTCAGATTGTGTATTTGAGAAAATTGAAAATCTACAAACATTTCAAATACCAGAGAATCTCAGGAATAAATCTTTCTTTTTAATGATGGATCCACTTCAAGAGGAAACCGAAAAGGAATTTACTATTTTCGTAAGAGATTTTTCTACAAATAATAACAATGTCACAGAATATAGATTTAATACAAAAAACGAATATGAATTTCTCAAGAATTATACTTTAGATGAAAATATTGGCTTTTTCGGCACTGTTTACAATAGAAGCTATTTCAGTCGACATAAACAAGAAAGAAAATTTGCGAAATACAATTTCGAGACAAACGAATTGACGTCAGGAAATGTGACTCCTGACTTATTTCAAACAAGTCTATTTTTGTCTTTTGTATTGTTTTTTCCAGAGGAGAATTATCTTTGGGCAATGTACGGAACAAATTATTCTTTTTCAGAAATATATTATCATCTGTTAAAAATTGATCCACGCAGTTTAGAAATTGTCTTCAGCAAGTTTGTAAATTTTAGCGAATGTAGAATAGCAAATGTATTCATTACATTTGGCAGGATTTACTGCGTCAACATCAAGGAGCAGAAAATTGATTTATTGCTGGATATATACGAAAGGAAAAATCGAAAAATTACGTTAAATTTACCTACAACTAATTTGGATTTAAAACAAAATATTGTCTTTTATAATTACAGAAGTCGACATCTCTATGTATATGACCAGTTTATGTTGAACAGATACAAACTCCATTGTTCTAAAGAAGATTAATAATTGAAATTATTTTTAATATACGAAAGGACAAATAAATGCTTAAAATAGTAAACCGAATCTCTTTGAATACGAAGCGTAGATTGAACAGTAAGACGTTTTCGGGTATTATGTGGTACAGTGAGAAGTATTTGGTATCAGTGAGGTTGAATATACTAATAATATATGAAACATAAGATACATAAAGTAGCACATATCTCCGAGTAAAGCTGGAATTGTTACAAAAAAAGGACAATAAACCAGCAACGAGTTGCTTAACTTTTCCGGCAACATTTAAAATTTTGGTGGCGACATTTGTTATCATATTTTATAAAGAAAAACTTTTTATATTTTTAACTTATAAAATGGCAAAAAGCTTAATTTTGAAAGTATGGATTAGTTTTATAAAAAAAAATTATTAATGGTAATAACGGGTAAAATCGTCATTAAGTCTGACCCTATTAAAAAACACGCAACACCCATTATATGCCCACACCCTCGACCCTTACACAGAAAAATTTAATAGCTTCAATTCCCCTAACGAACACACCTTCCTGCAAAATTTCAGAAATTTTTGACAAAAAGCAGTAGGTGTTATTAATTAATTAATTAAGCTTCAAACAGGGTGAACAAAATGGAAGCATTATCTGTCTTAAAATTTTTTCCGTGCTTAAAAACTTTAAAAAATTAAATAATTAAATAAAAACGTACTAATGCAATTATATGTGCCCAAGTTTTACCTCTACACAAAAAACTTTGTAGATTATGATGTAAATACAAGCTTACATGTTACTAAATAATTATTTTTTATTTTGTTTTAACTATTTTGTTGGCACTAGAAAGCCTTTTCCATCACACTCATGAAAAATTCCGCTTGGTACAAAAGAGGAGTGGCATAATGTATCTTGAAATACCACTGTTTAATTAAAGGTTTCTAGAAAGCATGGATTCGATAATATAATTTCTTTTATATATTGATTTTAAAATTATTTATTAATAAACATTTTAAAAATACAATTAATTCCTTATTATATTTGTCTTTTACAATATAGTTTAAACCAAATAAAAATAAAGGATGTTTAGACATTTCAATGTAAACTTTTACACAAAGATATAAGAATTTGCTGTTTAAACATTAAATATAGCTTTTTAAATAATGAAAATATAAAATAAACTTATATTAAATACAAATACGTTTAATATTACAGTAAAACTTCATATAAAAATATTTATAGTACACTTAATCACATTCGATTCTGAAATAGCGTTGGGTATTTTCTGATTTTCAATGTTAAATTATTAATTTGGTTTAAATTTTGAAAAATGCAAAAAATTCTTCAGTAGTTATTGCATCTCAAATAAAAATATTATTGCGGATTGATGAGGAAAGGCAATACAACACATGGACCATCTACGAATGTGAAATATTTCTCAGGAGGACTTTCAAATATTTTTTTTGAGAAATACTTTAACTGAGCTAAAGTATTACTTAGTTTCTCAGCTAAACTGAGGCGTTACAATATAAAAGAACCAAAGAAAACTTTACGTAGCCATTCTATTGGTCAGGCACGAACCGCGATCACCTTTCAAGTTACAAAACAAAATTAATAAAAATAGCAAATACTTCTTAATTTATC